ATCAAAACAAATGCATTCATTTAGATCAAACAACTAAATGAGCACAAAAAGCCCGAACATCAAACAATTATAGACCGTCCAGTGTCAATATAGGAAGGATAAAACAGTTGCATACAACTAAAGCTTAGAATAGTATCTCTTACAGAAATACGTGTAGCAACAAACCCAGCCTTGACAAGAGGCTGGTCCAATCCTCCTTTATGAACCCCAGATCTGCTAGCTTGAAAGTGGCCAAAAGAACCTGAAGGCAACAATGAAAAAAATGTTTAGTAAAAAACTACAAAATCTGGTAATATGAATTGATCCTGATTTGCTGGAATATTTCAGACATTAAAAAATCGTAATACATAAACGATCAACCTGCCCCATGAACAACAATAAAACTGCCAGAGTCAAAAACAGGTTGATCTCTGAAATCCTCATCAACGCTAGGAGTTTCTGAAATCCCGGGGCGTTTGCTCCAATCCATCCCCAGAGACTTCCCAGAAGAAGATCCTGACATCATTGCTTGTCGAAGCTGCAATGAGACCGTTTCAAGAGCTTCTTCATTTATCTTCTCAAACTCATTTTTGCAAGTAATTGCTGCTCCTCCTGAACTACATCAAAACACCAACCAATATGCAAATACTCTTCATCACATCCACTTATACACTCACTAAATTCTATATAACCACCGCTCTTATATATTAAATCTCAAAAGTGTAATTCCATAGTCAACTTCAATTATAAAAATTTGCAAGAACACATTAAGCAATCTTTATATCCTAACATTAATCTACTGCAACTCAGTCAACTTCCTCAAATTATTAGTTTTCAAGTCAAGTTATTCCGGGCTCGTCTTGATTAATGATTTAAAGCAATCTGAAGATCTCAACTTCGGGCGCAAAACTATATGGTTCATATAGGAGACTCAGATCACAAGTCTTGCTCAATATTGTGGATTACTCTACAAAAACCACTTGCTTAAAATCCTAAAGTACCTTAATTCTACTAAAATTTAATCAGTAACTAAGATTTTTTGGAACTAACTGATATGGGTATGTAGAAATGAGAGACCATTTACGAAGAGAACACTAGAAGCGATTAAATGTCGAATAAAATAGATCAAAAACAAAGAAAAAAACAACAGGAAGTAGATTAATGGTAGTATGTGTAAAGTTGCTGACCCAGTTTGACGATGAAACGAATAGGTATGATCGGTTTGATAGCTGAGTTTTGGTGCTGCTGGCTTTGATTCATCTCCTCCATGTTGGCTCTCTGCTACTCTTTCCTACACTGAGCTTCAAGTATAAGAAGAACTAAAACCCCAAGACGAAGTGACACAGACCGGATTGGCTTCGATCGAGGTCTTGGTGATTGGTGAGTAGTGAACTCCACTCACAACTCGAATTTATTATCAATATACGGTCATTTTGGAACAAATTTACCAATTTACGTCATTCTTAAATTTATTTACTAAATTACAAAAATTTTAAAAATGAAATCAATAATTTCGTTTTTATAATAAAAATGGGATCAACAATTCCGCTTTTATAATAAAAATGGGATCAATAATTCCGCTTTTGTAATAAAAACGGGATCAATAATTCTATTTTTAAAAATAAGAGCGGGTTCAAGGATTTCGCTTTTACTTTGTTGCTTTGAAAATTATATTGAGAATCTTTATTGGTTCTGTCATCACCACCAGTATTGTTTGACATTGTAAATTATTCATTTTACCCTCGAACCATAATTCCTCTTTTCTCTCTCTCTCTTGCTCACTCACGCTCAGACACACACACTAACACACAGTCACACACATAATAGGAGAAGAATCCAACCGCTATGAATATGATAGATTTTAGGGTTACTTATGGAGCCCAAAATCAATTGAAGGGTTCTGTGTTGGTTTTGTAAGATTAATTTTATTTAGTTCGATAAATTATTTTTTGTGATTTGTGAATGAGTTTGTGAAGGAGATGCTTAAATTGATTTTGTGACATTATATTTTTTGTTCAAATAAATTATTTTTGGTGATTTGTGAATGAGTTTTGTAACAAATCACGACTTATTATTGAGCTCCGTAATGAACACAGTTCCTCTCTGTAGAAGCGAAGCTTGGCTTATTAGCCATGGGAGAAAAATATTTTTTTTGGGTAAATTATGGAAGAAGGAGATGTGAAAAAGTGACCCAACAAGCTTGGAAAGTATTAGAAATTTTAAAGCAAGCTTCACACAAGTTTTGAACCACCTGAAGTGGCTGTGGTTGTGACTGTGGCGATTGCGATGGAGTTCCAATTGAACACGAGTCCTCCCTAGAAAGCGAATTTATTAATAACGATTTTTAATGATATTAAAAATATATTTTATTAAAAGTGGAATTGTTGATTCCGATTTTATTAGAAAAGCCGGATTATTGATTATGTTTTTAAAAAATACTGTAGTTTGATAAATACGTTTAAAAATGTCATAGATCGATAAATTTGTGCAAAATTAACTTTACATTAGTAATAAATTCCTCACAACTCACAAGCCTAATGATTAATGCTGAGTGCTTTTTTTTTGGGTTTGACTATGGTACTGAAATTAGTTACTATATAAAAATTTATAATTTTTGTAATATACGATATTATTTTTTTGGATTTAATTATAATTTATAATAATATTTTAAAATTAATCTTAAAGGAAATAATTTTTTTCGATCACATTATAATTTTTTTAGGATTAAGTTATAAATTTTGAAGATCAAATTATAATTTTTTTGGCAGTGTTTATGCCAAAAAAAATTTGTAACTTGACCATTAAAGTGCCTCAACCGCCCCGACCCCGACCGACATTGCATCACCATATTTTAGGAGTTGTCTGCTGTACAAAAAAAATAAAAATAGTATCATTATTATTTTTGTGGTATTTTTATCATTATTATAAATATTTTCAATTTTATTTATATTGCGGTAAAAATAGTTATCATTATTTATATTTAATACTTAAATTTTGAATAAATCATACTTGGACCTCTTAAAATTTATCACTAAATCCCATGAACCCCCTCAAGCATAATAAACTACACTGACACTCCCTGTCAGTAAAGGGCAGCTAATCGATCTAACGAAAACTACAAAATGACCGTGTTACCCTCTGATAAAAATCAATCTGACCCAAACCCAAATATGTCGCCCGAATTTGATATATAACGACCCAACCTCGTAACCTATGCCATTTTTTTGCCACTTTCTTTCTCTCCACTGCTTCTACTGTACTTAGTCACCAGCACTGACTATCAGCAATAACCAAACACCATCCCTCCAATTAGCTACTCCCATCTTCGCCGCTGGAATCCATCATCCACAACCACCAAGTGAGCTATCCCAGCTCACCCCACTACAAACTTCCCATGACACGCACCCTTTTCTTGTTGCAATGGTAGAATGCATTGACACCAGTAATTCATCGCGTTCTTCTTTGATTGTTGGCTAAACAATTCTTGAACCATAACTTATCGGATAGATGGTGCTAGCAGATCTGGGTTTCCCGGAGTGAAGTTGTGGTTCAGAGAGAGAGAGAGAGAAGAGTTGGTTCATGGTTCTACGTGTATAAGTTTGTGGAAAGGAAAAGAAAGAGACAAGTAGAGAGAGAGAGAGAGAGAGATGTTGTGATGGACATAAATATTTTGTGTGTCTGTGGGTGGTTGATGGTATTGGCGGCGGCCACGGTTTCTGGTGCATTCGGTAGTGGGGTCGATGATAAATTTGTGATGAGGTTAAATAACATTTTTGTTACTTAAATTCTATTAACTAAAATATTAGCTTGGCAATGGATGTTAAGTAGCTTGATTATTGGATTTTAATTAGTTTTATTAATGGGTTACTCTATTTGAATTAGTTGGTTAAATTACTAAAATTAGCTTGTGACAAAAATGAATGTGATAATTATGGTGGTTAATTGCTTAATTAATGGACTAAATTAAATTAGTTGACTTGTGAGGAATTTTACGAAAGTTTGAGAATGATGGTATTAATTGCATAATAAATGGGCTGAATTAAATTAGTTGTCGAACTTGTGATGGATTTTACGAAAAATAAAAAATTATTGAATTTTTTTGATAGTTTATTTTTTTAGAGGTGGATCGTAGGTAATTTTAATTTTTTTTTTTGATAAAAATGTGTTGATGATAGTTTTTCAAACGGATTTTAACGACAGAGAATTATGTGTTATACGAGGCCAAACCTCGAGGGATCATGATATTATTTTTTATATTTGAGGGGATTTATGTGATTTAATGATAAATTTGAGGGAGTTTAAATGTAATTTACTCTTAAGGTTTGATATTATTCAGGTACGGAGTTATTGTCATTATATCTTCATTTAAAATTTCAGAAAATATCACAAAACCAAAAACTAACGAACTCCATAACTCGTACCTGCTGCGTGGACTTTTTATTGAGAGAGAGAAAAGGCGAAGAAGACGACGGCGAGAGAGAGAGAGAGAGAGAGAGAGAGAGAGAGGGGGGAAATAAAGGGAAGACGTTGTTTCAGGGAAGAACTAGAGAGAGAAAGTGTCTTTGAAGAGCCCCAAATGGTGAAGAACTTGACGTAGAGAATTGAACAAACCTCAAAGTCAATGGCTGAGAAAGAAGGATTATCATCGTTCTCATCGAGAGCTTCATCGGCTCCTCTACGTCCTACGATCAATCTACCACCACGATCTTCCATGGAAAGCCTCTTCACCGGTGGGTCAGGTGTGAGTCCAGGACCGATGACTTTGGTCTCTAACTTCTTCTCAGAAAACGATCCGGACTCCGCTTGCCGCTCGTTCTCGCAGCTCCTCGCAGGAGCTATGGCATCGCCGGCGGCGATTTCAGCTCAGAGACCGAGTTTTTCGGCTCTCTCGGCGGCGGAGAATGGTTCAATGAAGAATAAGGAGGCTATTGATGGTGGTGGAGAGGATGATTTTCGGTTGAATCGACCGTCCGGTTTGGTGATCGCACAGCCGCCGATGTTTACCATACCTCCTGGTCTGAGTCCTGCTACCTTGCTTGATTCGCCGGGTTTTTTGTCCTCCGGTCAGGTATTCGAGCTATGATGAATCCTTGTTTTTACTTGGAATTTTCGAGATAGATATGCGCATCTAATATTTTATATTCTTAATGATTTTGAGAGGTAGAACAGTTCAGAACATATTTGAATTTGGTACTTCATCTCATTTCTGTTTTTGTCTATACTTTTGAGACTGGAAATTGAATTTACTGTTTAATCCGATTGAGTCTTTGGTCATGGAATGTGGGAAAAGTAAAATTTTGTCAGATTTACTGATGATTTAATTTCTCAACTGTAGCTTGAATCATCAACCCAGATTGTTGGGATTAAGCTTTGTTGAGATGAGATGAGCTTGTCTCAACAATGACAATTTTGGAAATTTAGCTAAAACTAGAGAGTTGGCGTATGTTGCACTTAGATGCAGAGGGAGTTCTGCTATAATATCTAGTTATTCACTCTGTTGGAAGGGGGAGGTTGCACAATCAAATTTGCTAACTATTTGGGCTATCAGCACAGAATTCAGTCTAGACTGCCTGGTGCTTGGCTTTTGTACCGTGGGTTAGGAATCTAGAAACAGAAATTTCACTTACAGACTGAGGCATAGATCTCCCAGCAGACAACTTATTTGATATAATGTTAGCAGGTATAAGTTTATGGTATCTTGCATTATACTTTCATCCACATTTTGTGCGTAGCTTGTCCCAATGTCGAACATGGACCTCATTTAATAGCTGGACAAGGCAGATAATATTTTTCTGAGGCTCTAGGGCTTATTTGGTGACTCATGTAGTGTTCCAGCAAAAAGCTATATAGAAAAACACATCTAATAAAGTTTCTTTATGAAGGAGAAGCATAGGTGTAGGTACCCTGTAAAAACATGATATGGGTTGTTGTGTAGTGATTTGTTTGCCGGAACCTGTATGATGTGGGTGATGGCAACATGTACACTGAGTGTATGCTGAACACTGTTTTGATTCTTCACTTAATATTTTCAATTTACTGTTAAAAATTTGGAATTACAAACCTGTTTTAAATGTTAATTTGTCATTTGTGGTATATGTAGGCCCCATTTGGGATGTCCCACCAGCAAACACTGGCTCAGGTTACAGCTCAGGCTGTGCAAGCTCACACACAAACGCAAATTCAAACTGAATACACATCTTTATCAGCAGCTCCTGCTGCATCACTGCCACAGATTCCCTCATTTACTTCCAATACTGCCACACACCAGCAGATGCCACAACCAATGCAAGAACATAATGTTGTGAAGGAACCATCAGATTTCTCTCATTCTGATCAGAGGCCCCATCCTTCCTTTGCTATTGGCAAACCTGCTGACGATGGTTACAACTGGCGGAAATATGGACAGAAGCAGGTGAAGGGTAGTGAATATCCTCGAAGCTATTACAAATGTACACATCCTAAATGCTCAGTCAAGAAGCAGGTTGAACGGTCTGTGGACGGACAAGTGACTGAGATTATCTATAAGGGCCAGCATAATCATCAGCCGCCTCAATCCAATAAGCGTGTAAAAGATACTGGAAACCCAAGTAACTCTGAATTGGGTTCCGAAGCTCATGCTGGGAACTTGAACAAATCTAAGGAAGTGGTGTCTTCATATTCATTGTCGATGAAGGATCAGGAATCTAGCCAAGCTGCACCTGAACAATTGTCTGGCTTGAGTGACAGCGAGGAAGTGGTTGATGCTGAAACAAAAGTAGATGAAAGGGATGAAGATGAACCTGAATCAAAGAGAAGGTTTTCTTGTTTACCTAATTGTGAAGGATTCCATCATGTGATATTTTTAATATATCCAATTATCTTGATTGCTGTCATTATACATGCACATTGTGCAGGAACTTAGAGGTCAAGATTTCAGAACCAGCTTCATCCCAGCGGACAGTTACAGAACCTAGGATCATAGTTCAAACAACCAGCGAAGTTGATCTTTTAGATGATGGCTATAGGTGGCGCAAGTATGGTCAGAAGGTTGTTAAAGGAAATCCGTATCCAAGGTGATACTGTTTTCCCTGGTGCATTTACCATTATAACAAGCTACATGCCTTTGATTTAGGAATTCTTCAGGTAGTTTGGACTTGGTATTAGCAAAGTTTATAGGTTATAGACCATGATAGATTTTGTACCCAACTACCCGCTGAACTACAAGATTCACATGCCAGCTATTACAAAAGTTCTGGCATTCAATGCAAGATCATCCTACTGGTTGGTTCTTTACTGAGGCTACAATTAGGCCGACACGTGGATAGGAAAAGGAGTATGAGTCATTTGGCATAAACCAGGACAAAAAAATGAAAAGAAAAATACCTTAATTATCACCTACATGGAGCCAGCAACATGTTTCACCATGAATTCGGGCATGATCTTAGACTATATCAACATCATATAATTAGTGCCCCTTGGACTGCTCTACTTAATATTAAATTATCATCATATACCTATATGTCTTCAATATCACAGATGCAACTTTTTCTTTGTTTGAATAATGAATGGATGCCCTTAATTCATATCGGCATCTCCTCATTTTAGCCTAAATAAGGGTGTGCATGCTAAGTAGTATTAGGAAATTTAATTACCATGAATACAGTCAACTAGCTGCGTAGAAGGTAAATCAAATTTAGGAATCCTCACCCCGGGGCTGGTAGAAACAAGGAAAAAGTGAGCAGCCCTATATTAGCATTCAACAACGTCGAGGAATGATGCAAATAAATGTGGTATGACTAGATGAGAAGCTTCAAGTGAACGATTTGCTTGCTCCTCCAATTTTCCTTCTTTGGTATCAATCCTGAAGCATCTTGGTGCCTTTTGCAGGAGCTATTATAAGTGCACAAACCCAGGATGCAAGGTCAGAAAACATGTTGAGAGAGCTGCAAGTGACCCGAAGGCTGTTGTAACAACCTACGAAGGAAAACATAATCATGATGTACCAGCTGCTCGAAACAGTAGCCACAACACAACCAACAATATCGTGTCACAACCAAAGCCTCATAATGCTGTAGCTGATAAGCATGCATTATATAGAAGACCAGAATTTGGGATCAACGAGCAACAGCCTATACCATTGCGGTTTAAAGAAGAACAGATTACATAGATTCTTTGAGTTTCAAACATGGAAAGAGAAAGAGGGCAGTCAGAGAACGCTAAAGAAAATTGCCATGAATCTCACACGGAAGCTTGATCTTTCTGTTAGGATCTACTTTCATGCTTGAGTGCAAAATTATGGTCCACGGTCATCTATACTACTGCAAAAATACAAGAGAAACAGGGAAACAGAGGTGAGTGTACACCAAAATGTTGTCAGTAGGTACAAGCTAGCATTGAATTGAACAGAAATTGATTGTAAATTAACTTAACAGGGCATAGAGTTTGTACTGTCATAAACTTATAATTGTGTTTATTCTTTTGTAAAACCCAATACTGATTGTTTTCTGCTGCATATGGAATCACATACACATTTTCGAAGTTCATTTTTTTTTTTCCTTCATTACTGAGACCCTGTAAACTGTTTGTTTCTGTTTCCTGGTTCTCAGAATGATATAAGATGGTGTGGCCGGAATGATACGAAGTATTGTCTAAGTTTTCGGACTCCAGTGATCCCTGCTGACATGAGGTGCTGTTTTTTGAGCACCTAAGAGTGTTAATCGAGATGAGTTACTCGAGCTTAGTTCATGCTTGACTCATGTTCTAAACAAATTAAACTTGAACAATTTTCTAAACAAGCCTAAAAAAGACTCAGTTTAAGCTCACAAAATTTGACTCGTTTATGTGTAAAATAGTTGAGCTACTCGGACTTAGCGGGGGTTCAGCTCGGCTCGAGTTTTAATTAATCGAGCTTGAACAATTTTTTAAACTCATTTAGAAAAACAAAGCTCGCCAAGTTCAGGGTTAAGCTCACAAAACTCGGCTCAAAAAACACCCCAATGAACACCGGTGACGAGGACAAAAAATTCGCTTTAATTTATAATTTCAATCAACTTAAAAAGAGAAACAATTAAAAAATGTAATCAAAACATTTTGGAATTGGGTTCAATTGTGGTATCCATAAATTATTTATCGGTATTATACTTTCATTTTTCATTCAATAAAAACATTTCATGTGTAAAGCCATCAATTTCTTAAATTCATCTGACTCTCCGTATGATAGTCTTATACTTGAAAACAAAATAAAAAAATATATTTTTTAGAACCCATTGAATCGTAACTCTAGCCCTAGTGAACTACAATTTAACCTAATTCAGTCATAACTTTCTCAAATTTTTTAGTATGATACCCTAGTCTTTTCTATTTAGTTACATTAGGAAAGTGAAGATTTAGTGGATGTGATCATCCTACCAAACAATCTGCCCTATATCATGAAAAGGTGAATCCTGTAATCATTAAAATGAAGTATAGATCAAATGGTATCATGAACAAAACACAAATTCAAATATTTTGAGTTTAAATTTTAACAACCACTTAAAATTTTCTTCATGAATATCTTAATCCCAACGTTTCTTTAAATGGACTAAGAAAGAGATTAATTGAAATACATGTAAGTTAATTCAAACATCCCTAACCGTTGAATAAAAAAAAAATACATCTTACATGGACCCAAATAAAAAAAATCTTCATTTAATCCTCCAAGTCCTTCCTAGGTGAAGGAAATAACCTATAATCTCGAAGTAATTATTGTTTTACATTTTACAATAACTCATTCTTTGAATTGAGGAAAATGATTTCTTATTTCTTTCAATCACCCTCCCAATCACATGGAGCATTGGTCCAGACTCCAAAAATACTAAAATTATTCCTCTCGATTTCTCGGTTGCCGAAATTGTTGTGCTCTCTATATGCATTTCCAACACCCCCATCCAAATCAATCACCGTCAGTGGGGTTTATGATTCTAGGGATTTGGCCATGGTTTACAAAGTCAATCTTGTTCAATCGAACACAACATAGAACCTTCTCCGGCAGTTCTTCTGGCTTTTGTGCCTGTCAAGCATTATGAAACGAATAGTGCAGGTTAGTTTTGACAGCAATGGAAGAGATCGAGGAAGCTCTCAATACTAGTCTGGTGGTTTCATTACAAAAGATTCAGAGGTAAGAGTCACCTAAAAAATAAATTTTAAATCAAAAGAATTTCTATAAATTTAATTGTTTCAGCTTCAAAATTTTTGTAACGACTTGTATTGGTGTGTGTTGAATCCCACGTTGGAAGTTTACATGAGGGATCTTGGGTATATATGTAGGAACAATGACACTAAATGATAATTACTTGGCTAACCCTTTTGCGAGAGTTCCTGCACATGACCATGTAGATTCGGGGGCACTGCGGTGTGGGGTCTTGGTATTTGTGATTGATTGAGTCCCTAGAGTGGAATAAAAAAGGGGAGATTGTGATGACCCCATTTGGCGTGTGTTATCCCACATCGGTAGTTTACATGGGAGATCTTAGATATATATGTAGGAACCAAATGATAATCTCTGTAGCTAGCCCTTTTGGGGGAGTCTTTGTGGGTTCTACAGTTGTTGACTAGAGATCGATTGAAATGTTAGAAATTAAGCTCCAGCCGATTCCCCAATTGAAGAGCATTACAAAAATTTAAAACTTCACTGCTCTCCAGTTTTGTTATTTATCTAGTAGGGGATATGCATGAAATGGTAGAAGTACAACTTCAAAGGAGCTACATTTCATGGTAGCTTTAATCAATCAGCTTCTTAACCTGGGATACTTAGCTCACCAGGTATCCAAGAAGCAACATGTCATGGTCAGCTCATTTCTATAAAAATATGACAGCAAACCTACCGGAAATCAAATAAGGTACGTCTTTGAGCCGACCATCAATTAAATTAGTCACATCCAGTTTCACTTGATTAAACTATGCAACTTGGTATTGACAGATGAAGATAAGCTCCTTTTACCTGCTTCATAGTTGTTAAATTGACAACCTCAACTTTTCAGATGGGATAAGATATAAGAAAAAATTATACCTGAATTGTTAAACCCAAGTCAAGTATCCCATGTTTCAACCGTTCTCGGAATGTGTCAAGTCCTTTCCTAGATATGTAGCTGAAGCGGTGTACATCCAGGTCAATCTCAAAGTAATTGGGTCCCTGCATAAGACAGGCAAAATTAATTTTGATGTGATACTAACAACAGAATAGTTGTACTACAAGAAGCTATCATAGAGGTAGCTGCATTAGTAAAATAACTTCATTACTCTGTCCCCCCCCTCCCCCCCAAAAAAAAAACAGAAAGGTAGTGAGCGGGGGTGAAATTATATACGTAGACCTCAAAGAATGCTTGCTTACTCTTCTCCAGGCATTCTAGCATTAGGTGTGGTACACAACATTTTGAAATGCATAAATTGCAATTGTTGTGTAGCTCATAGTCTGACGTCCACAACATAACTAAAGCGTTGTGTGCGCGAAAGAAGCCAAGTCTGTGTTGGCAAACAGATGAATTTAATCTTCAAATGCTAGTTACAATTTCTATTCAAGGACTCGAGTGAAAAATGCAGGGCTGAGTCCAGGCATGCCACACCTCTTGTTCCATATAGACTGCAACTCTATTATCTAAAAGGTCCTATGGACCTAAGTAGTTAAGCTTAGACTCTGTCCAGAAATTAGGCCCTGCCAGCTTGCGTTTTCATAGCTAAAATTGCTATCACCAAGGAGGTTTCATGGGTGCCAAACCCCTCGTTGTCTGGCCATTGATGCAAATTTGAGAGCCAGCTAGGTTATCAGTTCATTTTGCTTCAATGGTATGGCCCAGACCATTGGAGGCTTGGATATTATGCATGAATGGCACAAAGAATGTCAGCATGTGCATAAAGAATTTAACAAGAAGTTTCAAACTATATAGCAGCCGTTTAAGTGGCACCGAGATCATTGCATGTGAACATAAATTTGAATCACATTCAACTATCACCAACGAGAAAAATTGAAACAAGTGAGACAAGAACTAAAAGGAAAATGTTGCTCACCCTGTAGAAAGCGTGTTGGGGACGTGAAAGCACTGGCTTATCATTATAAGCATGTAAAAGCTTCTTTTCAGTAGAATTCAAGAGCAGGTCTTCTGTATTAACCACCCCAACCAGGATTTTTAGTCTTTCTCTAAAAGGAACAGTGGAATCTTTTGCAAAACCTTTCACTCTTTCCCGCTCATCCAGGACCAGCCTCTGCGGCAGATATTCGACAAAGCGGATGCGTAAACTACTACGTAAGGAAAGAAGACATTGATAACAGACTGAAGGTAAGAGATAAAAAATAACAGACAGGAGTACCAAGTGAATCTAGGCAAGGTCATATGGTGACAAGTTCAAGAGGAATAAGATTTTGTCAAGAGTTCCTTTTAAGGTTGAAATAATAAAAATATTTGCCACACCTCATATATGCTAGGAATGAGCAAGAACAGTGGTCTATTATGAATTATCTTTCTAAACTTCCAATTGGTAAGAACTAGTTTAAAGCTCATGAGCCAGATTACTGAGGTTGATCAGATGCAGATACAGATCTAGGAGTTAAATCCAAGGGGGCAGTCCCTTACTGTCTTTAGGGCGTGCCTTTGTCAACATAGATCAAGTTGTCTGGGGGTAACCCCCTCACAATTCTAACGATCTCTTAGCAAATACCAAATAAAACAGAGATTTTTGAAAACTTGTGGGGGCAGTCACTCCCCCTCCCTTCTGTAGATCCATCAATGACCAGAGGCTAACCAACTTTTACATGTTTACGATCCCTTGCAAAAGTTGATTAGGAAAATTATGAAGTATTTACGTTTACTTCCATCTCAAACCGCCTCCAATAGAAGAGTCTCTTCTTGTAAACCTCATCTGGGCCCTATCCCCATGCTCTATCCCAACAAAAACGAAAACAGAAATAAAACACCAAAAAAGGGGAAGGCAAGAAATGGAGAATAAAGAGGAAGCAAGAGTAATAAAAAATAAAAAATAAAGTAGATCTAAATGTGCAGACGTCAAAGAGAAAGAAGGAAGAAAATGACATCCTTGAAAACAAGATTCATGAATATCTCTTCCATTCTTACTCCGACTAGAAAGTAGAAAATAATATGAGATACAAAAGGAACATGTCTTTACATATATTTGCCATCAACACAAAAGCTGAATGGCTGAAAAGAGGGTGCCAACTTTTGAAGAAAAAAAATATTCATTTTTTTCTGAACGGTGATAAATATAAGTTTCAGGTAGTTCTACTTGTAGCCATGTGCTTTATGTGTGTATCTTAATCAATTGTATTGTGCCCCTGTCGTCTAATAATCCCAATGCTTATCATTCCACCTTCCACTTCGATGAACCCGGTAGCCACTCAACCTTATTAAACTGTTTACATATTGTTCACCTTATTGTCATTCATCTAGATTGCAAGGAGAATCATGGAAGCAGACATAACGATGAATTAAATCGATTTTGATGATTGATAGGAAAAAAGGAATGGATTAAAGGAGAACAGAAAATAAAAAGAAAATTGAAAGAACCACATATTTAGCAGTTCTAGTGCCAGAAAAAATTATATCATCATCTAAAGGTGCAAATTGACATACGCCAGCTGTGCATACCTTGATACAGTCGTAGAAGTGAGGAGAAATATCTTTGTCAAAACTCTCAGATAGTTTGAAATAGATAACAAGGCTCATGCCTTCTCCATCGCTATCACCAAGGAACATGGAGGCGGGATAACTAGGCAGCTGCCATAAGAATATCAAGATATTTTACAAGGCAAGCTATATATAAAATCAGCAACTTTTTCCACTAAGCTGATAAAATATTTGTTTTAATGCCCCCCTCATCCAGTATGCTGAAACATGGCCCAGGTCCCACATTCTAAGTTGACTAGTTCTCAATCACAATAACCTAAAAAAGTTATGCAGGAAACATTTTTATCAAAAAATAAATAAATGAATTGCAGGGACACCCATATTTTTCTGCAAATGACAATCTTCGACCACAGCAACAAAGAACCAAATAGACTATAAAAAAGGGTAAGGTAACTACTGCAGCCCATCCACTTATCCAACCAAAAGAAGATTGGATCAAAAATCACAAATTTAGTACCCTCACAAAGAAGTTAAATGAAGAAAACTTTCCAAAAAAAAAACAAAGAAAGAAAGATACTGAAATAATACCTGTATATTGATGATGAGTAGTGGTGGCACTTTGTTGTGAGTTCTTGCAAAGGGAAGTTCAAGGTGCTGAGCAATGTGATGTATCTTGCGAGAGCAAACAAATAAATCCATACCAACTGGGGAATAAGGACTGAAGTTTGGAGCGGGGTGTTTCCGCCTATCTCTGCACAATAAAATGTAAAGGTCTAGTCAGTTATACCCCTATGTGGCGAAACACTGAACATACAAACTACAGAAAACCAAAGATACAAAACGAACAGAATCAAATTGGATAAAATTACTTAATAACATGCCTGAAATAATTCTCCCCCCGAAGCTTAAAAACTGAAGGTGCAACAGGACTCCAACATCCTGGATTTGGCTTCTCTTCTGTTGAATGAGGAACCAGAAGTCCTGCCTTCAGATGATATAGGAATCTCTTAGATGGGCCTGCTATTATGCTCATTGTATTTAGTAGAGTAAACATTTAGGTAGAGACGTGTACATGCACATCATAAGTTCGATAATATGCATATGAATCAGTGGACTTGCATCAGAAGCATAAAACAGAACAATACCATCATAAGGCCAATGTGAATTGTGTGTGTTCATCCAGTGAAACATAACACATATTGAACCAAATTTGATATATAGCATGCACAACAAGCAAGATAATGGCATATACTCCAATCACAGGCTTGGCAGGATATTTCATACAACGTTTGTTATCAAAGAATGCAAGAATATTTATTGAACGATTGGTGAAAGGCAACTTACAGCATTCAGCCACTTGATCTCCATTATGGGGTTTCCTCTTTACAGCAAGCAATATAACTGTTGACTTCTTTCTTTTGGATGCCGAGCCTGGACTTGATGGAGGTCGATTCTCGTCATCAATGTCTAATGGAATCAATCGCGGTAGGCAATATTTCAAATTGCTTTCTTGAACCTTCCCTTCGAAATTAAACAAACCATCTTTCCGACCGCTGAAGCTTCCATAAGAGTTGTCTAAGATTTTTCTCCTCTCTGTACAACCTTCATCAACCATCACTAAGCATGAAAGGTCATGATCTCGAGTACTTCCTAAAAGCGAATATCTGTTTGATTCCTTTAATTCATCTTTGCCCAAAACCCTATCAGTTTTACCTCCATCTATGTCCAGGTGGGTTCCATACAGTGTATCATACTTACAACCATTCTCGGCCAAATAGGATGTACTTCCATACGGAGTGATTTGGTCATCTGGGATGATTCCCGTTGCATTGCCCAATGAAGGAAAAAAGTCTGACAATGATGAGATTAATAAAGTAAAGAAACATATATGTTGCCCTCATTAATTAAAAACACAACAATTTATGTTGCCCTCATTAATTAAATACACAACTTCATTGAAATTGTTTATTACCCCCATGAACACTGATAAAGTCATCATCCGAATCAGATTCAAGAATACTAACAGAGTCAAACCATGCTTCCTCTTGGCATGTTCCTGCAAATTAAAGAATGACAATATCAAGAAGTATCCTAGAAGACCTCTGTAAACTAAAGGAAATATAGATCCTGAATCTCACAAGTAACTCCACCAAAAGAACTACCATGACTCTAAATAAATTCTCATGACAACTAACAGTTAACTATAAAATGGTTAGTACTTTATAACACTACTATTTTCAACTGAACAAGATTGACTATGGGCATGCCCTTGACTTCTTTGATAAAAAATCCTCCTAGTTAGAAAATCAGCAACAGTCAACTTTTATGATTGTATTTATCTGATGTGTTTCTTTTCCTATCTGTAATTTCTGTGAACAGAATAGAGCACGATCCTTTCATTAAAATAGGAAATTGGGCGATATTTTTCAGTTGGTTGGATTTCGCAGAGGAAATTATGCATTGAAGCCCAGAGAGTGAGCAAGCCAGAGAGAAACACAGTAATACCTTTTGCATCAATTTGATTGCAATTCCAATGCAGTTGGGTGAGCTGAATTGTCAAATTAGCAACCTCAGATCTTTTGCAGGTGGTTGTAGCACCATTTTGGAAGTCCACATGAACAAACTCCCTAACAGAAAAATCTCCTGCACAATTCTCTGCATCACTAAGCCGTTCCACAGGTGCAACTGGGATGGAAGAGGACATCTTTCTCTGAAACTTGCCATTTCCTTTGAAGTACTTATGCGATTTAATTTTTTTGTTTGGCCTTGAAACACAGCCACCCATGATAATGACTTTTCTTAACTGTCCCCAGGGAGGACAAACGTCTTCTTCATATCAGATATCAACTTCAGAAAAAGAGTTGGTACAGAGCATATAAAGAACTGCTATGAAACAAGAAATGAGATTTAGCAAAGTCCAACAATAACAAGTTTCACTCTTCATAAAATGCTGCATATTACATAAATAAATGATGAAAAAGAGTAGAGAACATAGTATGACTTGCCTGAAACACAACGCTCCAACATGGGAGCTGCAACCAGGCAAGACACACTTTTCCCCAACTAGCATTCAAATCTCCCATATGTTCATTGCCATAAAAAATCCAATATTTCTTCTCCACCACATAATCATTTTATTTAACCTGCAATAACATAAGCAAAACCTGGAATGGAGCCAAATTGAATACAATTCCACTAATACTTGAAAGCACATAAGCCATAACCTATTTTAAAATCTCATGTTTTATGCACAGAACAAAATCCACTACATAATTCAAAAGTATCTCCAGGAAAAGCTAGTAGAAACAAAGTACCGGGATTAACTGAACAAATAGAGACATCAATTACCCGAGGGGGTTGTCTTGTTTAAGAGACTGAGACAGCCTGAGCACAAACTGATATAGTTACCTTAGATAGTCCAGAATTCATCTCAGAGTTGCTTTCAATTACCCAAGGGGATAAAGAAAGAAAGGAGTATGCAAAAATTGTGGCCTTCAGATAAACCTCAGATGAATCAAATATTTAAGATGTAAATTGTTGTGCGAATGTGAATCAATGAGCACTTTGACTTAATACAATCACAAGTATGAGAAAAACTCTTTCAATTCAGTCAATTTTAGACCAAACCACCCACCCAAATCAAATCAATTAGAAAAAAGGAGAAATTGGATTTCAAAAAAAGATGTTATTCTATCTATGACTGCTAGACAAGTTAACTTTTTAAGTGAAAATTAATCCTATAGAGTAGACTTCAGGAAATATATCAAAATCAAAAGGTTGAGATAGGGATGTCAAGAGTCTCCGTCAATGAGATAGATAAGTCAAACAAATTATCAAAATTAATCAAAAAAGCCTGTATTAGGGAAAGAAGCATTAATGAGTCTTCGTCAAATGATACAAGCAAAAAGATAATGAGACATAAGAACAACTCCTATGTGTTGAAGCAATATGATAACAAGAAAATTAATGGAGCAGAAAGATAAAAGGAACAAAACTGGGCAGCTATGTAATTACAAAATTATAAAAAAAATCCCAATAAATTCAAATATATTCGAGAAATATTGAGCTCATTTACCCGCACAGACCTCTCCAGTGAAAAATCAATTTCGATAAGCAAAACTACAGACTATGTATGTAATCATTAGCGAATGCGAACAATGTTAAATTATAATAAACAACAAATCAATATGAAAAAGAGCGTATGCACAGAACGCAAAGGCATCAAATGTTTGAAAACATTTGAAGGCAGAGAATGACAGAGATCAATTTACACATATACGATATATATATACACACACACAAAATATATATATATATATATATATAGGAAATCACTAGCTACACATGAGAAAGAAAAAAATTAAACGGTCAACCACACTTGATGACCTTAGCGAATGAGAACACTGTGAAATTGTAATAAACAACAAATCAAGATGAAAAAGAGCGTATGCACAGAATGAAAGGCATCCAAGAGATTAATTTCCACAAACACAATACACACACAGAGATATTGTAAAACTTAAAAGCTGAACTAATTAAGCTTTGTACAACTATGTCGTGTACATACATGCAAGCAAAAATGGAACAGAAAAATGATTAGAAATGAAAGAGAACCTGAAGAAAGAGAGAGAGAGAGAAATGAGAAGAATTCCAGCACTAGGATGAAATGAAGCTTCCTTGAAACTTGAAATCTCTCTTTCCGAAGAAGAAGAAGAAGTTTCTCTGGTCGTGGATCACACCAGTACATCTATGGAGTCCCGCCCCATTTTTAAAACACTCGTTGTTCACACACTATTTTATAGTAGTTGGGACCTGTTGTGTGTGTGTGTGTGTTTTTTTTTTTTTTCACTAATGCTTTGGTTATTACTTTTTCTTATTAAATTTATATCCTTAAAAGACGGGGATAATTTTTCACCATCAAATAAGTAGATCACATTAATATTTAATGATAGAAATTGTGCCACATCATCATGGTAAAAAAATTTTCTAAGCCATTTTTTGAGATAATTTCTCCATGTCTTCTGCCAAATTAATTACAGTCATTGAATCAGTGATGAAATTCACTAATTCAATAACTGTAAGTGATTTAGTGGATCATTGATCTAACAACTGTAAGTAATTTGGTGCACATAGTATTGCTCGTGTAAATTTATGGGGTAGATATTGAATGTAACGATGATACTATATCAATAATATTGACATGATATCAACAATAATAAATACCAGTGGATAAAATGAACTCCACTTTAGTAGTTTTTTGTTTACATAGAAGAAGGGTGAATAGTTATTTGTTTACATAAAAGATTAATTATTAATTTTTGTGAGATTTATTTGTTTATTTATTTGGATAGTAGTGAACAAATGACATGGTTATAGACCAACCAAATAGTACATAATAGATGGTAGCCACTAAGCCATTTTTGGAGATCTATTTAATTAGTCAGCCTAATAAGAATTATCTTGGCTTCAACACAAAATTGGTGGCACAGAGGTACTAATATTTTATTTTTCGGTAGCATACTTAAAAATAGAATGACATCCCAACAAATATAATTTTATCCAAAAAGAATATAAATATGTCACAAAAAAGATAACACCACCCTGAAAAAATAATATTCTCATCAAAAAATATAATAACATGTTGGTATGTCTTTTTTTGAACATCGGTTGGTAAGTACTTTTTGTTTTTAAGATACAATTACACATTTTCGGATGCTCTCTTACTTTTCAATTTTCAGTATAGTACTGAAAAATAAGATGTCACTACCATAGTTCTACCCCAAAACTCCAAGTCTGATCTCTTAATGAGGTTTAGAAATCTTAACAACTCAAAAATGTATGGTTGTTGCATTGCGTTTGATTTAAAACAAAAAAACAAAAAACAGAACAACTATTTTTCTAAGCAACAAATAAACAATATTGTTTGTTTTCATTGTTGTATGTTATTTTTACATATTTTTCCACAATTTTTGTCGATAGACTTGTGTTATTGGATATTTAACACGTTTTTAATCAGACTTTTAATATCAGCTAATCGTGCGTTACGCCTTTTTGAGTATTTGTGTTTGCCATAGGTGTTCAAAATATAGTATTACGGGGAGTTTGTGAAACGAGTTTCATTCATCCCTCTATGTTATGTCACGTGGAGAGATTTTTTCCAAGAATAACTTCAATATAGATATTGGAATTTACATGTATACTTTTGTTAAGCAAATGAGGAAGTATCCTAATAATACATAGATAGAGTGATAGATCTAACACAAACTTGAGATGTTGCAATCACATGTACATTCGGTTATTGAAGTTACAACATCTGAAATCTCCACGTCTAGTATAACAGGGGGAGATAAAATGGATGTTCAAACCTGAAAGATATGACAAAAGTAAAGAATTATTGTGTTACGCAGATGAAACATCATAATCAGTACATAAAATATTAAATTTCACATGAAAAATTATATAGGGCAAAAGTATGCGTGTAATATCTATTTGGTCTCTAATCTTTCAATTGTCTCTACTTAGTCCCTAAGATTTTTAATTTGTATCTATGTAGTTTAATCTCAAACGTTCGTTAAAATATCGTTAATGTCTGTGGTCATGCGCTAATTACGTGAAACCGAATAGACACAAATTGAATTTTAGGGACCTAATAGACACAAAATTAAGAACCACGTGATTGACGTGTGACTAGAACCGTCACGATTTTTTGACGAATATTTGAGATTGGACCACGTAGATATAAGATAGGAATCTTATGTATTAAATAGATACAATTAAAAAATTGTAAATCAAATGAACACTAAACTCGTACTTTGAAGACTAAAAGTGTATTTTACCTAATTATATAACACCCTCACAAATGCGACAATTGGGCATTTTTGTCCAACCGATACGTATACTTTCAATATTTTAAAATTGTTAGGCATGAAATGCATGGTTTTAAAAGTAAGTAATGATTGATCTTTATATTAAAGCAAAGACAAGATTGCTTTACCAACAACAATGTAATTTAACTTTTTAAGTGGAAGTTCTTCATGAAATGGTGGATGTTCATGGAACCAACTAAGTTTTTTTTTAATACAAATGATTATGAAAGTTTGGCATTGTGGTATTATTGAATTTGAAGTGGTCGAGCTTTTTGTTCAAGTGGTTGGGCCGTAAAAGGGGGCAAGGGAAGGCACACCAACCTAAGTGAAGTTGTTTTTTTTCTCACTCCACCAACCAATTCAAGAAAATATTGTTTGGTTAAAGAACTGGCCTTCCAACCATCAAGAAAACATTAAAATTAGGTAAGAGGATTTGAAAACTAGACAAAGTTTCAAAATAATTATTTACCATGAAAAAAAAAAGTTTCAAAATAATTCAACCCATGGTAGTTTGAATTGAAAGGCTTCAAAGTAGGGTTGACAACAGACTAGGTTTGAATCGGATTCGAATTTTGATTGGTTCGAATTTGAATTCGAATTCGAATTCGACTTTAAATTTTAATCTGTACCCGATTCAATAATTCGCTGGATTTTATTTTAGTGGTTAATATCTGAATCTGTTAATAATCTGAAATCTGATCCAATTTTAATAACTTAATTTAACTAAATTTTAACAAGTTACATACAAATTTATATAATAAAATAGTTAGATTGTTTGTCTTAAACTTTTCGTGGCCCATAATTGAATTACATACAAATATATATATGATTTTAATTGAATATTTTATTCCGTTTACAATTCTAAAAC